ATTCAAGCTGCGGGCAACAGAAAGTTTTGCCTCATGCTCACCCTACCTTTCTGCTCATCAACATCAGGTGGCGTGAACAGGTGAGTGCAACCACATTTATCATCTACCACACCCATGAGACACGCCCCACACCCGTGCACCAATACAGTGAGTCCATTTAAACCAACCCACTTAGTCAAACAGGAACAACTCATATGGCTCCTACAAGCATATTATCCACCATTGATGGTTTACAGTCTGCCAAAAACTTTCTCTGGTGCCCTGAAAACCTCACCTTTGTCTCCCTTTCTTTAAGTTGCATTAACAACAATAACGAGAGAAAAAAAACACAGAAGAAGAGTTGATGTCTTCTACTACTTTTTTCCAAACACTTTAGGCAAAGAAAAGAGAGACCACCTAAATTAAATGTAATTATCACATACTTATTAAAAGCTAGCTTCCAATATATTAAGTTTCTAATAAGGCCAATGACCAGGTAAAGCATGTGGCAGTGTTTCTATTTAACACAAGCTACCTTGTTATTTCTTTAGAAGGACAAGCTAATAACTTTATTTTCAAATATAAAGCCAAACTAGATTTTACCATTTACCAGGCCACTAATCTGTTTTACGGCGTTTCACTTTCACAATAAAACTCGTATCTAAGCACAATTTTTAACAAATGAAATATTGGTTAAATCTAAAAGCAGTTTGCTTATATTAAGATTTGACGTTAACAGCTGCACATTCAGGAAGAGTTTAGGCTCTTATCTAATGGCTGCAAATCTCACTTTTCCATTATAAACGAACAACAATACATTTCACTGAGAGATTTTTATATAAGGTTTTTAACGCTGTAGGGTTAATTTTTAAGTAACATGAGCTGAGAGGCAGCATGTAAACAAGGTATTAGTGATATGAACGCTAGGCTAACACTGGCCAGCTAGGAAGTTTATAAACTGAGTAAGAGTAAATATTTACTCACCAAATCAGTGTAGAATCAAACAATCTCTTGAGCTGAAGCTTCTCCTGCTGCATCCAGGTTTGCTCAGCATAGCCCATAAAAAAGTAGCGGTGCTGCCATGAACATGTGGACTGATCTGTGTAGTGATGCGCGAATCATGAACGAATCGTTCAATACTCGAGAATCACTTTACTGACTCATGAATCATGATTCACAAGCCCAACTGACTCATCCATGTTGCTCAGAGGCGGAGCCAGACATTTGAAACACCCGGGGCTTAGCCCTAAAGGGTGGTATGCATGTGGGATCTTTTTCTTTTCTTTCTTTTTTTTTTTTGGGG